CAATTAGGTTTTCCATTAATACTTCATATATTGTAATACTTCACTCCAATGTAATGGTACTCTTCCCACTTACTTCCTGTGTTTTCATTTCCATCCATTCTTCTCTCCTATCTCTGCCTGCTTTCTGAGCTTGATTCTTAGGCAAACACTGCCCTTTTGATCTCATCTGGCCCATTGTTCCAGAGAGGGCATAACTCCCTGTGTTATTGTTCCCCTGATAGACTTTTCTCTTGTTTAGCTGAAAGTTGAACCACAGAAATGAATTCCGTTCCAGGTTTGATAGGTGTCCAAGAGCCTCGTCATGGGTCCCAAGGGTCTCTATCAGACCAATAAGAGTGTCTTTCTCATAGGTTTGGTGATGGTGGTTGGTATCAGTTATAGCTTGGTAAGTAGTAGTCCCCATTCTTACCTTCAGGAAAGATTAATATGGGTAATTTCTTCTTATCAGCAACGTGTTCTTTCAGTCTGTGAAGAAAAAGTAAGAGATTAAAATCTGCATTCAAAAAATATGAGGGTTCTTTTTGGTGTCCTTCATACTCTACCATATTCCTAAATGTTCTTATATCTTATACTGCTCTTCATAAGCTATTAGAATTGCAAAGCAATGGGTTTGTAACTTATTGCTTTAAGGAGAAAAGAAATGATACAAGCAAAGGAATGAACTTGGGTTGTTCTCTTTCTAAACAAGTGTAAGGCTATCTGGATCTTTCCATTTCTCTAATTTCAGTCAGCAATTTTCAGTGGCCTCTGGCATATCTTTCCAAAGAATACTGAAATAAGAAAATAAAGAAATAAAGAAATAAATAAAAATAAAAGAATACAGGACACACAGTCATATGACATGAGCTCTGGAGCGACCATGTCATAAGTTCTATACCCTTATTTATGTATTTGTATTTCTTCATCTAAAAATGAAAATACAGATCACCGGACCTGTCTGTCTTATGGCTACTAATTATAGGAAGACTCCATAAGTGAGTCAAATTAATGTAATATGCACTATGAAATATGCACTAAAAGCTGAGACTTGCCAAAAGTTGAGGCATAGACTCCACCCACGCTCCAGTCAGTATGATATCCCCAATTCTGGTCAAAAGCTGGTAAGGGCTGAGCTAGAGGCGTCTCCACCCCTGGGTGGTACAGCTGGTTAGCACTTCCGGCTGCTAACCAGTTCGCTATCTCACTAAGAGCATCCGCTCCATCTGCCTCCAACTAGATTTACAGGGAACCAAAGACTTCAGCAACCATTGGTTTCCTCAGCAAACATTGATCAGTTATTTAACTTCTCTTCTTTTTTTCAATTATTTACATTTCAAAGCAAAAATTTTTAACTTTAAAATTCAGTGAGTGGGGGGCGGGGTGGAGTGGGGGAGAGAAGGGATAAAGGGGAGCTGATATCAAAGAGTTCAAGAAGAAAGAAAATGTTTTGAAACTGATGGTGGCAATTGTACAATTACGTTTGATCTAATTGGACTACGGATTGTTATAATATCTGTAAGAGCTCCCAATAAAATGATTTTTAAAAAGAATTTAGTGACTGGACAATACCTTACTCAAAGCAAAATAGACTTCCAGGCCTTCTAATATCTATTAGTCGCTATGGATTGAACATTTGGAATTTGGGATTAGGATTTTGGATTCACTACAAATACAATGTTTGGGCTTTAATGTTTACGTGCTGCTTTTCCCTTTGTGGCAGGAATTAATTTGCTCTGGGACCATTCATTCCAGTGGGCACTGAGTAACCTCTGTGTTTACCTCTTTGTAACCAAATGTCGATCCCTCATTTCTGAACGTTCAAACCAGACATGTGGATAAGCCTTGAGCATTGCTCTCTGAATAATTCCCATCAGTCCACCATGAACCTGGCCAACCTAGAGAAAGAGAAAATGTTAAGGCATAGCTGTCCGAACCACATCCACACTCCACACACACACACACACAAAGGAGGTATAAGTACCAGCACATTCCTATTGCTGAAGTCCTCAGTTATTAACCAAAAGGTTAGCGGCCCACGCCAACCAGCCACCTCATGGGAGGAAGATGTGGAGGTAGGCTTGCACAAAGATTTACAGCCTTGCAA